CCTGCTGCCTTTCACAGCCCCGAAACGGGGAACGAGGCCCTGCGCGTGGGACGCCCGGGTTCCTGGAGCAGTGTGAAGTAGTGATTAAAAACCCTGCAATTCCCAGGATAAAATATTCCTGAGGTCCTGGTTATTGCTGAACGTGAAAATAACGTTCACGTGAAGATCCAGGACGCATGTCCTGGATCACAGCTATTTAAGGCCACATTCCTTGGAAAGCACACACCTTTTTAAGGAGCTATCATCCTCTAATTCTTTAGAAACCTTATTTTGTCTTTATTCCAAAACTTGCTTTTTAAAAGTTATTAATTGTAATAACTGAAGTTTCAGAGATTTGGGAAAGCTAGGTATTAAATAGCATGATATTCTCTTGTTTTTCAGAATTACAAATATAATGTCAGGTGGCTGAAAATTTGCCTATCAAAATGTCAAGTAAGTTTTAAAATTTTTCTTCTTTTAATCTGTTGAACTAAAGATCTGCTTCAGCAGAACCTACCTGTGAGAACTTTATTATTCCTTGTGTAAAGAGGAATGATAGGAAGCGTAGTCATTTCTGACCAAACTCTTGGGCTCACCTCTTGCTGGTGCTGATTTCTGGCATCTCAGGTGTGAGGAGAACTTGGCCTCTTTCCTGTTTGTCTCTAAAGGTTTCAGTGTACTGTAAAATAGGAAACACTACTTTAAATGGTCAACTCTCCATGTTTTCATAGAAAATTCAAGTATCAAAGTTAACCCTAAATGTTTTGTTTTCTCTATGCTTTTGCTTACCTCCTTTTAAAATGCATTTAAATGCATTTTATAGTCTTTAATTTTATGTCTAAATAAAAGGCTAAATAATGGGAAACCTTTGAGTCCAGGTTCTCTCTTTTTTTCTCTAAATCTTTGAGCAGTGTTTGGCAGTCTGGATGCCTTAAAAAGTTCATTTGCATTTTCAAGAAAAATGTTTTTGCTTGCGTTTATCTTTCAACAGAAAGGCCATCTTACGCCCCGCCTCCTACCCCAGCTCCCGCAACCGTAAGTATAGAGATTTTTCTCATTAACGCAGATCTGGTGATACAACCTTTAATAACCTCCCACAGCAGTAACTGAAGGTGCATCAGCTTCCTGCACTGGCAACATAACTAATTGTTTCATTGGTAACATGATATGCCTTCTTTAAATCCATCTTAACACTTTTTAAAGCAAAGTGTGAAACAGTGTAAATATATATGAGCAGATTGATACACACTTAATTCTAAAACTTCATGCTCAACTTTTACCAAAGCATGGGCAAATACTGTGTGTCTTGCTTTGTTTTTTTGTATCTACTTAACTGACTTGCAGTAGAATGCAAGAACAGGGACATTTTTGGAGCAAAATTACAAAACATGGTGACAGGCTTATTCAAACTTCTTGAAATCCCTGGTATTTTGGATTCTGCATGAAAATTATTTTACTCTATGTTTTGGAAAGATACTTGCAGAAACACAAAATGTGGTCTTGAATCGCGTTCAATGTGGTCAGGAAAGCACCTAAAAGCAAAGACATCCATTACAGAGCATTTGCTCTTCTTTACTACCTTGTGTTTGAGGATTACTGCATTGACAGGAGAAGATTGCACTAATCTTCTCTGCAAAAGATGCTGGTGAAATTCTTGACCAAAGGGAATTTTTGAAGGGTTTGATCCAGCAGTGTTCTCAGGGTATGAGGGATGAAAAGTTCAGGATGAGATCTAGATGAAATGTGATCCTCCACATTCATTGTGCCAGACTACATTTAAAAGGGCTTGAAAATGCTATATTGTGTAAAATGCGTGAAAATAAAATATTTTACTGCTTTTGGCCTAGTTTGTTCAGAGTTTTTTTTCACACATTTTTATATTTTTTTTGTGAATATTAGAAAAACTGTGATGGTTTCTGCTCTTACAACTGGATTCCTCCATCAAGAACCAGGCGTACACATAGAGCACATTGATTCCCTTGGGACTTAGTGTGGCTGTGGATATTTAATGGAGTATATTGATACGGTTGTTGATATGGAGTGGGGTTTTCTTGTTTGCTTATTTTTAACTCGAG